TAGTGGAGAAATTTGCCTACTCTCAACTGTATAGGGAGCATACGTAACTGTTTTCCTATCGAACACATAGTTGAAATGCTATATAAAACAAAGTTTTAGCTCTTATTGCAGAAGAAGATACATTTGCAATATGAATGTGTCAGTCTGGTCAGTAGTGAGCCTTGTGATACTAGTAAAATAGAAATAGGATGATCAAACTTCGTCAAAATTATTTAGATATCACAGTTTTTTATGCTGAACTCACATAAAATAGTTTTAGCGAATAATATGCAGTGCAAGTTGGAATAATCTTTGATTTCCCAGAGCAATAACTTTTTTTTGTGTTTGCTGAGACGTGTTGTTTTAGTTTTTCATTTCTTGTTGAAAACTCGATCTGTAAAATAAAAAGATACGTACTCATAATCAGCGTCGTAAGATTCATTCATTCGTATATTATTCAACGAAATCTAATGTTTTTGCTCAGTTTCTTCATTAATGAAATCTAATTACTAATACAGAGAAATGTTTACACTTATAAAAGATGCTCATTTTCTCTATTTTTCTTCTTTATGTTTCGTCAGTTGCTTTTTGTCTTTGCTATTTCGTAGTTAATATTAGTAATATTTCAACTTTTATTTTGCAACTTGTCAAGTGACGACATAATATGAAGCTAAACTTAATTGAAAGGATTTTTATTTATTGTATTCAAAACATATTTCAGCTGTACGTAACACTTTTATGAATGTCCCAGTGATACTTGATCGGTTTCACTTCATTTTTTCGCCCATCACTTCTACCTAAAACATAAATAGAGAATAAAAAATGAGCCACTGACTATCGTTATTGGCAATAGTTTTTCGTATGTTTTTTTTTTGAATCTATTATTATCAGATCATTTGATACTGATCGTTTCATAATTGATGAATCTATGTTTAAGAAGAAAATCAATTACGGTGTCGACTTGTTTTCTTAGCTATACATTGAACTTGATAACAAGTACAACAAAAACCAAATGTTATTGTTGGTAAACTGTTATATATATAGATAACATTCTTGAATAAGTAATCTACTGAGAAAATTTTTTTTTATTATTTAAGACATTCTATATTTTAA